GCTAAATATCAGGAGAAACTTCCTAACTGTAGGAGTGGTTGAGCAGTGGAACAGTCTGCCTCGGGAGGGGGTGGATGCTCCTTAGCTGGATGTTGCCAAGCGGAGACTGGATTACCATCTTTCGGGTATGTTGCAGGGCTGTCTTTTGGCTCTGCTCCTGCAAGAGTGCAGGGGGTTGGACTAGATGACCTGCAAGGTCCCTTCCAATTCCAGCATTCTATGATTCTATGATTATAGACTTGCAGTCTGGCATGCACATGCGCACACACGCACGCACGCACACAAACAAACCTGCCTTATAGAGAATCAGATCCTTGGTCTGACTGGGCAGCAGCTCTCCAGGGTCTCAGGTGAAGGTATTTCATAAATAAATAAATAAATCTTTCAATGTATTGATCGCTCAATCCTGCAGAGCTTGCTGGCTCTGAGCGATTTACAGTTACTCATTTTTCACGAGGGACTAACAATGCTTATGTTACTACGGGTTTTTTTCTGGTTCATACCAGCGAGGATACTGTCAGGAATTTTTTTACATTGTCTTTCAAATTGATATGTACTGGTCGATGACTGTAATAATAAACTGACTGACTGACTGACGTGAGAAGGATCTTTACAAAAAGCCGTTCACGAGGAGCCACATTATTTCTGTGTGCTAAGGTGGAGTTCCGTCCTATCATGTTAGCTGATTGTGCAAACAAGCGGCAACTGGATGTGTTTTTGTCACAATAGGTCTGCTATCCTCATCGTGTGCCGTTCCCCCTGCTACTCCCAACGCCATCAGTTCCACGGCCATCGCTCTCTCCCTGACAGCTGAGGAGGCCAATTCCGCCATCTCCACGCAGTCACATGGCAGGGAAGTTCCAAAAGCGGAGGCACAGAAGACCAAACCAGTACGACCAAATGCAGTCCCGGGGTGAGTAAATGAATCACATCCCACCCAGAAGTAACTGAGGGCAGGGCCACCTCAGGTAGCAAAGGCTGGCCCTGAATTCAAATTCAGAACCTCAGAGGTGCACGGCAAGCTGTTCCCGGAAGCTTCCCCTCAGTTCTGGAGTTTCCCTTCCTGTGAATATTTACTTATATGCAGGGGACATTTCGTAGAAAAAGAGGTGCAGGAGCTCATTAGCATAACTCATTAGCCTAACTTATTTGCATGTGCCACACCCCCTGACATCACCGGAAGCGTGTCAGAAGGCAACACCCACCGCTCAGGCTCCACTGGACTGTTTTGGATTGCTAGCTATTGGGGGGGGGAGAACGTGCAGATCTGTCCTCGCAGAGGAGGGAGAGCTTCTACCTGAATAAAACGTGGTCTT